ATAGTCACTGTAGGCATATGCACTTAAAATAGCTGGATATTTTATGTAAAGAATTTTTAAAAAAGCATGACATGCATTGGTCCAGCACACTTGCACTCCTAAAAATTCAGCACAGTGACACGGAACAAGCTGCAAAGAGATACAATATATGTTTACAAATTATATTTATCTATTACAGTAAGTAAAGCTATTCCATTAAAGTATCAGTAAGAGAAAACATACAGAGAACAATAGATTGAAAAGGCTTGGAAATCTTGTGTTTATGTTTCAGAAAAAAGTTTGTGTAATATCTTGTTACGTTTCACTTTTAAAAGGGACAAAACCTTCTGAAATACACAAATGAAGAAATGGGGCCAGAAATTAAAGCATGTTTGCATGGCTAAAACACTCCTTAAGGGCTGAAATCTCATCTGCTACATTCCAATCCTGAACAAGGTTTGGAACGCTAATTTCTAAACCCTGGGGAAAAAATGTTGAGAAATCCTTGACTATTGAATAGCGCTGCGAATAGGAAAATTGCTGTGTAATACGTAATGAAAAGAAGAAAACACACATTGCTGGAGTTCATTAGTGTGTCACATTTGGTTTACAACAGTAAGCTGCACCCAGAGACTCAGATCAAGTGGAGAGTCATAACACCACAACTGCCCCCTCTAAGAGTGGTTAAATCCCATCAGGACTGCACACTGCATTAAATTCATTCGCCAAGAGAAAGCAAACTATTACCACTGCATGTGTATCAGCTCAACATCCAACAAAGCCGTCATCTTATTTCAGCAAAAGCAATAGGATGCTTGTGATCACCCAGCTAAAACTGTCCCCAGCTTGAACTGTCTGAATTAAAAAACAAAGAGCTGCGTTAAACTCTTGGCGTGCTAATGCAACAAGGGCTTTCTAGTCTTTAACATTATGAGAAGTGTCAGGTTAAAAGTCCTTCCCCAAGTTTGATTAACCAGAGATTTCAGACCTCCGAGGAGCTTCAAAACGAAGCTAGAGTAATTGTAAATATGTAACCCAACAAGCAGTAATGCACTGTCATCTTCTGGATGCTTCAGAAGTTTATTCAGCCATGGGACTTACTGAAAGGGAATGCAAGGCTGGGCAACCCTTTGTAAATTAAAGTGGAGGCCGTGATGATAATCTAACACAGATGATCCAACGCATACGCGCTGCTCCCGGCCCAGGCAGCTGAACGGAGGTCACGCTTGGCTCTGCCGATCGTTGTGCTGCCAATTACCACCACCACCTCCTGTAATTGAGGGTGGTCTTTGCCACCACAAAGCGTCTCGGACCAGACACTGCTTGCTATCAGCTTTGAAAGAAAACTGTAACAGATCTTTTCGGAAGTATTGCACTTTTACTGCTGTTTTACACACAGAAGGAAGAAAACCAGATTAGATTATGGGTTGCGTAAGAAAAGGCAACTGACAGAAAAACAGGTATTACATCACCTCCAAAGTGTCTCCAGAGGTGCTGGGATCACAAATTTCACATTCACAGTTTCAGAAGGAATGAACACAGCACGTAAGAGAAGCTAGACTATAAATGGTGCTTCAAAGCAAAGGTACCAAGTTCAAATTCCTCCTCCTTTTCCTCCCATCATCCCCACCCTAAATCAAGGCTCTGGTCCCTACCATTAGGCCAGAACGAAGCTGCAGGCATGAGTGTGAAATGTACATAAGTGTTGAGGTTTATGTTTTAATTTGCTTTCTGGATATATACTTCTAACATGTTTGCAAGCTCTTGTCCAGAAACAGTACACAGAAAGCTCCTTCAACAAATATACAAGTAAGAACAACAAACAGTTAAGTAATAACAGTATACTGACATGCTAAGAAACTGAATGCAACTGAGGAGATGCCTACTCTGGTTCTCAGCCCTCACCACTGCATCCTGTTACTATTTCCAATATACAGTAAATTCAAAGGCACACACAAAAGGTGTACATCTGCCTTTTTTCCTTTTTACATGAATACACATTGAAATCTACCCTGTTCTGACTCAGCAGCTGAATAGCCGTCTGCTTTGGTCGTTATACTCGTGATTGGGAAGCTCCGATCCCGTCCCAATTCTTCTGCTTCCTGTCCATCACACCCACCACTTCAAAGTCACCTTATTCCTCCCTTCCACCTCCCTTCCATAGGTATTCTGTGGTGGGGTGGGTTTTTTGTTTTTTTTTCCTTTCTCCAGGCTGATGACTGAATGGAAGCTGGGAAGAACATTCCTTTTTATGACATAGGACCATTGGTGAAAAAGAGGGGATTTATTTTCCTTTCTTGACCACTGTCGGGAGCAGAATATCGAAACATTACATCCTGGTCCCTGATACCAGGGCCTGAAATTTCCAGAGAGTATCAAACAACCAGAAGAAACACGGTTCAAAGAAAAATTAAACCAAAAAGCTTTGTAAAGGGGGATTAAAGGATTTTTTTTGTATTCTTGATACATAAATATATATAAATTCTTGATATAAATACTGAAGATACGTCACACGGTATACAACACGCTGGTTGTTGCCAAAAGAACTGGGGTTGCGAAGGACGTGCTCACTAATGCTCCAATAAAGCTGCCCCCTCCTTTCCCAAGGCAAAATGCAGGGATTTCTTCCACGGAAAGCATCCTTGGGGGTCTGGAGAGCACGCACTCCTCGCCGCTGGAGCACGGGAAAGCTGTGTAAGGGGAGCTAGAGGGCGCACAGAGGTCAGGAGTAAAGGCAGTTTGGCAGTCCCTGGGCAGCTCTAGCAAAGGGAACATCCTGACATGCCAAGTCACCCAGAAGCGGTTACGCGTAACATAAATCACCAAAGGCTGGCCTCGAAGAAGATGCTATCCAGCCGAAGTAACACACACCGCTCTCCTGTTTGTGCTGTGATCCCGCTGGCCCTTGGAATGACTGCTCTTTCACAAGCTCAGAGAGTCGCTCTTTTCTGTCCTTCTTCCCCTCCAGCCAAAAAGCTACTGCCACATGTAGGGGAAGGATTCTGCAACCCTTAGATGTACCACTCAGAAAATTATTCTCTCCCCCTTTCCCCCCCCCAAGAAAATATGCATCAGCACAGTTTGTTCTGTCTAGATTTACATGAATAATCAGAAAACTCCCCACATTCCAAGTATCAGTCAGGAGCACCGGACTGAGAGTATGAAGTTAAAAATACTTCTATAATCCTATTAAATGCAAGTCTTGCTTGTAAGACACAATACAAATCTTTATCACTACGCTGAAAAGCAGGGCACTGAGGGAACATGAGTAAGAGGTCTCCCCTTCGGAGAGTCGACCATCATAAGGTAATACGAAGTTCTGTCATGCTCTGGACTATCTGCACAAGCGGCGAAGAAAAGGGGACTGTCACTGCCAGAACTAAAAAGTATTTAATCTGCAGACTTCCCTGAAATACAAGACCCATTTGGAAGAAAACTGCATAGGCCATATCGAATCATTGCTAAACTTTGTCCTTCTTTAGCTACAGACCTGGTACTGCACACGCTGACATTGCCAGCTACTTACAAATGTCAGTTTTCATTCGGAGTGAGCGCCACACGTTCCCAAGGGAATACACACCAAACAGAAATCCCATGGTGTTCCTATTTACAAAATCCCCTATGGCATGTGTGCGGCTGTACACATGGATGCGAATATATAGTGTATTGTGCTTTTTCTGTCACAAAGGACGTTGGGGAGTGCAAGGGCTCCAGCATTAGTACACTATACACGTTTAATTTTTAAATACAGTTTTGTTTGCAAGTAATGGGAACCAAAATTACCTAACTAGCTTTCTCACGGTACCTGAATCACTGGGTAGTACAAACAATGAGAAGATATTCAGTAGCAGCTTTCCTAAGGCAAAATACTTCAAGAAAGAAAGAAAACGCAGACAATTTCAGAGAAATTTTGCAGTGCTAGTAAGAGCTACTCTCCTTCCGTTTCTGGTAGTGTAAGCTGAAGTGGGTGGAGTTAGCATAAATTATCAAGACTTTGTTGATAATGTATTATACAGTGAAATAAGAACCCATAGTCTTCAGCTTCTGGCAGCTATGTTCATAAATAACTTTTAGTTTGGTAGAAACAGCCTTGATCTGTAAACCAGGTAGGTGGTAAGAGCATACCCAAGACGGCAAGTTTTAAATTATACTGGTTCCCCAGCTCCCTCCTTTTTTTCACCAGTAAATATTTATGCACTCTCAGCCCTGAACTAGAAAATCCCAATTGAACTGCAACAGCAATAGGCTTATTTCCTATCAGCCGCAGTATAAATCCAAGCCTAGGATGAAGGAGACGATTTGCCTTGAAGATAACCAGCCCTGTCTCATTCCACAGGAATTTTAACTACACGATAACCTGGCCCTCCGGAACTATTGCTCCTAAACCCATACCATCTCAACAGCACTTAGTTATCCATTAGAAAGGAAAAAAAAATACGCTCAGCACAGAACCCTTGTGACTATTGCTGCTTTCACACAGCCGAAGTACAGAGTATGTGCTCTACTCTGCTACGGACAGGATATATTACATTTCTGATTAAAAAAATGCAAGTTTCAGTCATGCTAATAACCACATTCTACACACTTTACTCGAAAATGCCTCAAGGACCACTGTCACATGAAGAACGGAATGCAAAATTATACTTTGTCTGCTTTCTACATGCTAGCGTAACCTACATAGTGTAATCTGATTGAAGGAGGCAATTAACCTTTCTCCATTCAAATACTCAACCACTTAAAAGATACACAGTCATATACATATGCTTAAAAACACACTAAAAATTAAAATGAAGTTGCATTTGCTAAGTGAAAGTGACACGCTTGCTTTTTTAAATCATACTCTACATTTTTATTAGACATTGCTGGCTATGACCAATTGTGAAACAATTACATTCCTCGGAGATACGGTATCGTTTTAACACTCCATATATGAGAAAACAGGGTTTAAAAAAAAAAGGGGGGGGGGGAGAAAGCACCTCCGAGGAGCGTTTATCTGTGGGTGATTTATTGATAGTACTGACCTTTCAGATTCATCAAGATCGCTTCCAGTTCCTATCGTTCCCGCAGTGAAAGCTGCCGTATAGATACTGGTACAGGCGGCGGCGGCGGCAGCAGCTCCAGTCCCTCCCTCCATGTTGCGTGTGCACACACACACACACACGCACGCACAGACACACAGACACACGCACAGACACACAGACACACTCGCTCTGCAGGAGCGGCTGGGGGGAGGCTGCCGGAGGGGAGCGGGGGGAGGAGGCAAGGAGAAAGGGCTGAGGACCGAGGTTGTGTTCTCCCCCCCCCCCGCCCCGGCTCCAGTCTTCCCCATACGCACCCAGCCTCCTCTTTAATGACACGGTGCGTGAACGCGATCCGCTTTCTATCGCCCGCTGGCTCAGATGTCAGCTGTGCCGAGATCGCCTGAAACACTGGCTTTAACCCCCCTCCAAAAGGTGCATATATAAATGAAAAGCACAAAACAGCTTGCAATTCTGGGTTCCCATTCTGCCTTCCCTCACTAGCACTGATTCATGTTTTCCTGAGGCTGTTACAGGCATTTCAGCTGTAACCCTTTCCGAGCTGGAGGAGGTGGAGGGAGGAAAAGGAATTTCTTTGTCCTGTGCACCTCCAACCCTGTCCCTCGGATCCACGCAGGGATGTTCTTACCCGCTCTGGATGTTTTCACCCCTGAATAAAACTTCAGCAACTCTGATGGAAGTGACCAGTAAGAGTCATAAGGGCAGGAGTCTATTCCCAGTTCTGCCAACTGTACAACCTTGGACATATCACGTTAATGTATTTGCTGTTCTGCTTCCTCCTTTTTGAAAACAGGATAATATTGACTGGGTTCCCAGAGGAGACTCGTAAAGCTTAATTTATTTCTGTGTTTATGCAGCCAGTTTTAAAAGGGGCTGTGTAAAAACTGATATTACATTTTCTAGTTTATACACTAAACCATAAATAGGAAATAAGTATTATTACCCAACTTTCAATTCCCATTAAAAGACTGAAATCTTTCATCAGACCACCACTGCAGCAGTCTAGATGATTAGATATCCGTAAGAGGCAGTGAGCTCTAGCAAATAAAGAGGAAAGCTTGGATGACGGATGACTGGCTTTCAGTCCTGGCTTTCCCATGAGCTTGCTGCGTGACCTTGATCAAGTCGTTTTAATCTTTCTGTATTGGTACAAAACGTAGAGCTATTCTCACTTCTGTAAAACGGCCCAAGTTTTTTGTATTCTTATTACTGCTACTATTTGCCGAAGCTCTAGCTCAAACATGCAAGCTGTAATTTGTAACTAACAGTATTAGATACTGTCCGGACACAGCCCATGGAAACTCAACATAGAACCTAAAGGTACCTGATTTTCACATCGTTCCTTTCAGCTCAGTAGGATTGCTGAGGATGTTCTTGGTTATCAGCTGTAAGCGAAGATTTCAGGTGTGTGAAATACTGGATGCTCTTTGGACTCAGTGAGATACCAAGTTTAGAAAGACAGAAGATTTACTAAATAAAAACACTTTTTTGTTGTTTAAAATTCAACAGAAGAGGCTACACAATCCCAAATTATACAAGACAGTGGTACAACTATTTTGTGGGTTTTGGGTTTTTTTCAGTTTTAAATGGTTGGATCAATGCTGTTTGCTAAATGCTGTAAGACTGAGTGACAACCACCCTGTTGATTAGACCTAATGCATAAGGACACAGTCATGCCAACCCCTAGTTCAGCAGCCACAGGAGAAGGGGAAGATGCAAGCTTGGCAAAGCCTGAGCAAAGTCAAACAGGTTATACCCGTTCTGTGCCTAGAAAGCCTAATGACTGTTTCTAAATCCCTTTCTCCCAATGCTAGTTTTTCTTTGTTTCACCAAAACAGACGTGAACAAGTGGGACAAGCCAAAGATAGAAGAACTGAACAGGAAAAAACATGCTCATTTAGAAAAAAACTATTCCGACTTTGCATCGGTAGCTCCCGGGCTTCAGGAACTACCACAACGCTCTTCCTTCCACCTCGACCACCCCCACCTGCAGTCCCCTGTGGCAGAGACCAAAGTATACCGGACGGATTCATCGCAGGGACTATATCCCTCAACTTGTGGTTTTGACCTCTCTGACTTGAGTGGATAAGTTAATTCAACTAGAGTCACAACTTCGTGACAGGAGAAAACAGAAGCACGCTGCAAGAGTGAAGGTGTTTGCACAAGGTGATGGGGACAGAGCTGGGAAGAGAACTCGGTGGTGGTCCAGGACCCCAAAGCACTGACATTAATGAGAACACGTGGTGAGAAAACCTGTGGAAATTCACCACCCAGCTGTACTACAATAATTCTCTGCTGCACCCTAAGGTAACCACAGAGAGAGGATAACCCACTACTTAAGAGTGAAGCTAAAGCCCCCCCTCCGTAGCTGCTAATCCAAGTGATCAGTGTTCAAACCAAGCTGAACGAAACAGTAACAAACATAAAGCAAAACCAAAGCTGACATTTTATAAAGTGATAAAGCATAAAAACTCAACAGGTACTGTCCACACTGCATCTGTTACAGCTTAAGGTCTACTATTGTGCTTAACAGCGGAGCAGAAGTAGCTGTGGGGAAAAATTTAAGCAAACCTATTTGCTGTACAGCTCCAAAAGAGACTCTTGCCAACTAACTGGAACCAATTACTCTTACAGAGAAGATACATCTACTAGTGCACAGAATTTTAGCATATCCACTACCAACACCACCCAGGTGGCTGGGGCACAGTAGAAGATTATACTCTGCTGTTGCTTTTCATGCTTCTATGACATTATCACTGCCAGCCACGCGAAGAGATACCATCTCCAGCTCCTCCTTTCATCCCATACTACCTGTTGTCTTGCACTTTGACTGCAAATTCACCAAGGCCAGAGACTCTCTCTTGCTTTTTATTTGTACATTTTTCAGTACAGTACAGCCTTTATTCAAGACCAGGGCTCTGGATTCTATAGTTAAACAATAATAAGTATTTTGTTTCACAGCTAACAAGAACTCGCTAGTTATTAAGAAACACTGCTGTGCACATATAAAAGTGTCACATTTTAAAAAGGTCTTTAAGACATCTCTTAGAAGACCAGGCTCAAAACTGTGCTATGGTTTGATGTAAACTAATGCAGCTTTACTGCACATGAGCTTGATTATTTCTGCTGGAGACAACTTTTGACAGTAATGGATCATTTTTCTAACGTAGACAAGATCTGGTCTCCAGTCAGCTATATTTTACCCTTATTTAGTGCTTAAATTATCGCAATAATAGCAAAACAAAATTAACATTTTGACCCAAATTGTGGTGTGTTTTGTTTTTAATTAAGAGAACAGAGCAGAATGATATCACTAACTGCAAGCTCACATTTGCTGTTAAATTAGCAATAGGCTTGGAAACATTTTCTCTCTTGATCCTTGGGGTAACAGAGGGTAGTGCAAAATCAAATTTAAGAACAAGTCTCCAATCCGGAAAGCTTCTTTATGACACAGTTGCACTCAGGACCAACTTACTAACTTCCAGGTTGATATAGCTCACAAGAACGATAATTAGATTTACATAACGATTCAGCTTTCTACTACCTAAATAAACTTTGGGAAACTGCAACAAGAACTCCTCTTTCAGACAATTCTCTCCTAACAGAAGCTTCTGTCAACTACTTAAAGACTAAGATTATCCAACTTGAATACTATTTGTCACCTCTGCCAATACATTCATTCCTCCTTTGATCGTTTCCCTGAGTTTAAACACGGTTCCATTTTAAAAGATAAAAATGCCGAGCAGGAGCGGATTTTAAATTTAACCTCTTTGATTGCTTGAGGTTATCTAGGCAAAGAGCGAGCAAGGATGCTGCAAGACAGCTTCCTCCCTTGCTTTTAGCATAATTTTTCATTAAATTAAAAATGAATTGCAATTAATAATGTATGCATGACAAGATAATGTAGGACTGCTTTTGATTCCAAAAGCAAATGAATTTAATGGGAAAATATTTCAATGTTGAGATACATATATTTTTGAATAAACGACTTGAAGCAACACCATTCTCATACTGTATATTACAACCACAAATTTAGCTAAGGCATTGCTCGATACGCACTGAAGCAAGTTCAGGGAACATGAAGACCAACTGGACAGCTGGAACCAAGAAACTAAAATATTTAAAAGAAAATCTTGCTGCTAGCCCAAGATGAGAACTATTTCATTGCTAATTGATGACATGGGTCACAAACTGCTCTCTACTGAAGCATATGACAGGACACTTGCCTTCTCTGAGCCACAGAGCACATTCATAACCTATTCAATCTCACGTTATATGAAAAATGGTTTGCTTTTTTTTTTTTTTTAATACCGGAAGGACTTGGTGAATCACAACAGAAGTAAGAAAACCAGACTGCAATTTCTGACTGACAAAACTATATAAAAGCCTTTCAACCCCTCACCACATCAGACGCTCCTTTTGTATGGTTAAAGTTAAATGAATTTCTGAAGGGCTGGTTTAAGCCATGCCTTCCCCATGAAGACAACATACATGCCGAGCAGGCTGCAGCAGACACCTTCCAATCCCTGTCCAAAAGGGAGTTTGCATTCCTGCACATTCTCCCGTACAAGAACTATGCTCAAGGCTCTATTTAAAATACAAGGCTACTGCCACTATGGCACACCTCCACAATTAATCATCTTCAAAGGCCATTTATACAGCTACATATTATTACATCTCCATGACAGTTATTGCCATGCTGAATTCCTTGGTGTAGACCTTGTTCTTTTGATGACCAACTAAACTACTACAGATATAGTACTGGTTTCTCTATAAATAAACTGCAGAGTATATGTGTATGTGGTATCAGGGGAAGGAGAAGAGGAGAAACAAATTAGGATCTCAGTGACAAACCCAGCCCTGCAAATACCTCAGATCAGGACTGCAAGAGGGTGATTGAGATGTAGAGGAAAACCTCCTCTCGCACTGGGTACCTAACATGGAACATCCCCAACTCCCAACCAAGCCTTTTTTTTTTTTTAAGGGTATCAAATACAATTTTTCTTACAACACAGGCTATTAAGGGAACATTCATCTGCACAGCTATTGCTAGAGATGCCAAGCAAGCACACAGAATGGACAGTGTCCTACCACC